GGCGGGGGGAGGGGGGGGGGGGGCCGACGATGAGACAGGTGTTGGATATTTTGGTCGGGGAAGGGGGGGCGAAGGGGAATGGTTTGGGGCGGGTGGAAGGGGAGGGGGACGCCGGTGACAGGGCAATTGGGGCCGGCGAACAGTGCCCTTCGGCGTTGAGGATAGAGAGCATAAAGTACGGGCAGGAGCTGATGGCCATGGATGATGATAACAGCAACGATGGGGATGTGGAGGATGAGGATGGGCAGAGGGAGAATGAGACGACGAGTGCGAGTAGTTTGGAGTTGGGAGGCGGAGTGGCGGTGCAGAGGATGAAAGGAGGAAGTAATTATGGGCAGTATGATGCGGCGATGGGGAGCCGGCGGACGGCGCTGCGCGGCTGATGATGGCTGATTCATTGCAGGTATCCATGATTCAAAAGTTTGATTTTTTATGGGAATTATTTAAATGTGACTGGATTTGAAGAAACTGATCATGGTTGTAAGTGTGGTTTATGTTTAATTTGATTCATGATGGGGCTAAAATTTAATGGAAATTTTTTGGTGAATTGATGGGTTTGGTGGATGTTTGGTAGTTGTATAAGCTGTTTGACAAATTAACCGGTGATTTTAGTGAGGTGCCTTTTTTGTTCTATATTGAATATTTATTTTTTTGGTTGATTAAAAAAAGTAATTTGATGATAGATGTATGTATGTTGATATTTGATAAATGTTATTAAGTTTTAAGAATATTAGCTTGGCCTTCCATATTATAAGTGAGAGGGAGGAAATTATAAAAAACTGAAATTTAGTGTTTCTTTTATTAAAAAAATGCAAAAAAAGGTCATTGTTATCAGTGTACTGATAGTAGTAAAGCCTTAATTATGGATGAGATGATGATCTGTTGATTGGAGATTTCCTCCCTTGTTGAATGGTCCCATGCTTGAAGCTCACCGACTAAAAATAAAAAAAAATCTTAACATAAAAATATTGAGAGTAAATATGGTGATCAAATAATTTAATTATTTTTCATGAAAATAAATTTTAAGAATTTCTATTATTTATCTTTTGGAGGTGTGTATATTAAGAAAATAAATATTATGCAACATAATTAGAGATGTAATTACTGATCCTTTTTATATTAAAAAGATTGTTATCATCTATCATAATTAGAAGAGATCTAATTACATAATTTTTTCTATTTTAGAAATATCTCTAATTTGTATATTGTTATCCTCTCTTATTTATAGAAAGGATTAGGGCTGACTTTTGTGTGTGAATTTGTAACCCTATTTCAGATATTTTTTCCTCTCTCTCTCTCTACCTATTGATAGTGAAATAACTCTTCCTTGTGAGTGTAGGCGGATTTGCGTTGAACCATGTAAATCACACCGTGTTTGATTGTTTACTTGTTGTGTAATTTTTGTTTTCTGTATTTTATTGCACAATAATTTGGCATCAGATGTCGGTTTGTGTGATTCTGATAATAGCAGTTGCAATTACAATGAAATTGTGGACACAAGATAAAGATATTGGAGCAAATTAAGTTACAAGATCGAGTGAAGTCATGGATAATAACACATTATTCGGTACTTCAACATCCACCACAGTAGTGAAAAAAGTATTGATTCATAATGTGGTTGTACATCCGTTAAGATCGATGTGACGAGATTTGATGATAAAGAGAGCTTTGACATGTAGCGATGCGAGGCGATGGATGTGTTATGTTATTTGAGTATGGAGAATGTCCTTAATAGCGATAAACACCTCTGGAAATGTTAGAAATTGATTCAAAATTATTTTTCTTAGGAGATAAAATATGAGGTAATGATGCAGACTTCTGCTGAAAAATTAGAAAGGGAATGTTAGAGAATAAATGTATCACGAAGGGCGTAAAGAATCATCTTCATAAAAAACATCAATTCTACAGGTTTTTGATGATCAGTGTGGTTATTATTGATGTTAGCTTGAATGATTTTATAACTTTTTTGACATATCTATTAAATATGAATGAGAAGATTGGAGATGAAGACATAACACTTCTTATGTTAGATTTATTCTCGAATGAGTACGAAAATTTCACAATGACACTCATTCATGAGAATGAGGCCTTAAATTATTATGACATGACTACAACATTTTTGAACTATTTATTCCGTCGAAGGGACATGTAGTTTGCAAAGATAGAATTGGTTGAAACACTTACACTCCAATGTGGCTAATCTGACAAGAAGAAGAATTGGGCAAAAAAGGGTGGCAACAATGATATTTCTCAAAAGTGGGATAAGTCTCATGAGCGTAGACTTTAGAAAAATCAATGCAATTTTTGATTCGATATTAATCATTGAAAGAAAGATTGTCTGAAGTTGAAGGAGAAGAGAAATGAAGTTTCCTTTCAAGTAAAAGCTAATCTTATTATGGAGAGGTATGATGATGTTGATTTAGATATATCATTATCTATAATTTATAAAAGTTTGTATATAAATGATTGATGTTAGATTCTTGACACAAGCGCTACCAATCACATTTTTTACTATTCAGAGTGGTTTTGTTTGTATAAGAAGCTTGATAATAATGCAGTGACTATGGTTAATGATCAAACTTATTATTTTATATGTGTAGGGAGCATCTTTATCTGAACTTATATGGTACTTGTCGGCACTATTTTTGGTGTGGAGTTTGCCCGTAAGAAGCTGTCGGTCATTGGAGTTGAAATCCCGTTGCCCGCTTCGGAAGGACGTTAAAAAAATTTAGTTTTGAAAAAGATGAAGTCAAACTGACCCCATAATTTTCATAGTTTAAATGGAAGAGCACTTTACCTCAAATTCTGTATCTATCCCAAAGGATGAATACAAGAATTGAAGGGTGAGGCTCGATCAAATAAACTAGAGAAAGTCATGACATCCGTTTGATCTGCGGAACCAATATATTGGCCGACAAATTCCCCTATTTAATATAAGGAATTAAATAGGGTTTATATTATGCTGGGTTCGGGAAAAGCTTCCTATAAGGGCAA